TGTGTGTGTGTGTGTATGGTGGTGGTAATGCACTTAACAGCATGATTGATTTTGCAGATTCTCAGTGAAACTGGCTGGAGATCTATTCTTTCAATGACAGTACATCAAGCTCTGGAAGCATGTTTCGTTTTGAGTCGCCAGCGTGCAAGACGACAACTTCCGTGGCCTGGTTCCTGCCCCTTTGGACTTGTTGATGAGCTGTGCGTGACGCCTGGCAGTGGCACTGTTACGACAGAGGGTGTTTAGGGAGATGGCAGCGCCATTGCCCTTGGTACTCCAACTTAAAGCGCTGGAAATATAAATAAAAGATTGTCATGGTTTTCTTGGTTTGGGAAGAAAAAAGCTTTTCAACAGCCGTGTTATTCCACTCAGCCCCAGCTTTCTTTGCCAACAGCTCATTGAGGAGGATGGGGCTTGGAAGGGGGAAGCAGGGAAGTGGATCATTATTCAACAACTGGAATCACCTGGGGTCAATAACGTAGCGTCCACCCTGTCGTGTCCCCATTGCCACAGGAATCATCGAGGCTTGCTCTGAATACATACAGACTCACATGTAGCTCGAGGAATGACATGAAGATCCAATTCTCGGTTTGTATTTCTTTGACTCAGAGGATGCACCGTAAAAGCTCCCCGCTCAGAAGTGAAACAGTTGGCACCACTGAGCCAGAATCTTGATATCCTGAAATCCCAAATCTGTTTCTTTAGGTAGAGGCTAGGCAAGCCTGCATTTTTAGCCATCTTCACTCAGCCACTTGGCTCTCAGCTCTTCTGAAATGTCCTGGGTAGCCTGGTGGAAGCTGGGCTGAGGCAGCGTTTTTAGCATCAGATTGGATGCTGCTGAGGAGTTGACAGTTCCTAGTGGCCTGAGCCAGCCTCTGCTGGCAGGGTCCAGGACTCCTCATCCATGCTGCTGGCAGAGCTGTGCCCACTAGTAAATCCTGGTGTCTGAAACCTAGAAAGGGCGTCTGAGATTAGTGAGTAGTCTTTATCATTTTCCCGTAGAGGAAGAGCTCCTAGGAAAGATGAGTGACTGGTATAAGACCACAGGTCTCTTGGTCTTGGTTTAGCTCTCTGGTTCCCCTGGGCTCAGTTTCTTGGTAATGTACACCAGACTGCCACAAATTCTGGGTCTCCCATGAGGCTTCTCCTGGGACACTTACTGAGGTGGGTCTGAAGAGTTTGATGAATCTTGGCTGTGTTACACAGGCGCTTGGTGGAATGAATGGCCTTAGAAGGTCCCCAGGAAGCAGCTGCATCCGAAGGTCCCCTGTTTGAGCAGTGGACAAGCTTGTTTAGCACCTTCCAGGAGGTAAAAGCAAATGGAGCCAATTACATGTCCAGAATGCAGGAGCCTTCTTTTCCTCCCTTGATTCTCTGGTCTCCCATGGTGTATGAGTTCCTTGTTAAATTAATGTTTGCCTGTCTGGAGCGCCAGAGGGATAGACATTATAGGCCAATTAGAGATAAAAATCAAACCAACCAGAGCTGTCCTTTTAAAAATTAAAAGTGCTTTTTATGTGCTGTGGAGGTGTCGGCATTAACATAAAGACTAATTAGGACATTTTACAACATCCTGGTAACGGGCGAAACAATATTGTTGGTAACTTTAAAGATTATTAAGCATCTTTGGCACTTCAGGTCAGATATTTAAGACGTGTTCTGCTCTCACCTGCTGCTGCGGCACCAAGTATTTTATTGTCTCATAAGAAGAAATGAGCGTTTTGAAGGCCTAAGTGCCCTGCTGTAATGGACAGTCCCTCACTTTGCAAAGCCCTAAAGCACGGTCTCTGGGAAGACCTGACTGTGACTCCACATGGCATTTGTAGCAATGTTCATCAGTCTGCATGCAAGGCCATTTCAATCGGGGCTACCCGGAGAAACGCATCCCCCTCCAGGAAGCTGAGAGGGTTTGTGTGGCCTCAATAAAAGAAGCCAGAAGCTAGATAGTGCAGAATCCTATCATAATACTGTCTTTAGGGACAGGGGAGATGGTGTAAGGACCTGAGTTTAGTTCCCTGACAACCATGTATAAAGCCAGATTACACATCTGTAATCCCAGCACTAGGGAGGAAGAGAGGGGGAGAATCACACACACACACACACACACACACACACACACACACGCACGCACGCACGCACGCACGCACGCACGCACGCACGCACACGCACACGCACGTGCACACGCACTCTTACAATGTTGCCCTTCGAGCAGAGATATCCCAATGATTGGGATGCTGAGCCCCTGCCTGAGTTCAAGGTCAGACTTTGCTACAAATACAAAAAGGGACCGTCTCAAAAACCAAATCCAGAGCTTAAGGAAAGAGAGTGAGTGACCTTTTACGTAGGGGCAGCTGTTTCTCTATGTTCGAGTAGATACTGGTCAGGTGAGGGTGGGGATGTGGGGCATTCTTTAATATTTTAGGGAAGATCTTGTGATTATTTTCCAGTTCTTCTAGGCCCTGTAAACTAGAGCTTATTCTTAAGAACTTGATAGAAGACAAAGGGCTGGTGGCAGATTTGGCTTGGCTGCTCAAAGTGGACGCCATTGTCATTTAAAGAATTGCACATTGTCTTAAAACTCAAGTGTCCTTTAACAAATGGGAACTGCATGGAGCTTTGACAAAGGAGGATGGTACATCTAAGTGTCTGAGATGCTTACGATCCATGTGCAGAGATTTCCAGAAAGCTAAGGCAATGTTAAACAGTTTCCAATAGAAGACTGTGCATTTAGATTGGTATTTATCTGGGAGACTGTTGGAAAGCTTCTCACATTTCTCACTATTTTAATTGAGACTAAAACCGCACAATTAGGCTTCACTTAGTTATCAGTGATAGTGGTGGCTATTTACTTTATAGGCTCGATAATATAATGAGTGCAAAGGAAACACAGGACAGAGGTAATCCTTAACTCTCAGCTTTGTGCTCTGGGATTTTTGCCACGTGACTTACTGTCATCAGGATTTCCAACGTAGATTTTCCAAAATATGGATCTTGAAATACTACCGTTTCCATTCTGCTGGCTCACCACATTCCAAATTTTCTGCTATGTCTTATTTATTGATTAAGTGTGCGTGTGTGCATGTACGCATGTGGGTGCAAGCTTGCCATGGTGTGTGTATGGAGGTCAGAGGACAACTAGTGGAGGTTGGTTGGTTCTCTTTGCTCTTCATATGGGTCCTGGGGATTGAACTCGGGTTGGCAGCAAGCACTTTACCTGCTAAGCCATTTCACCAGCCCCCCACATTCCAATTCCGAAATGAGGATTTCTCCTACAAAGCTATCTTTTAGAAAAGGTAAGCATATTGCAATCACATTTGTTGTCAGAAGGTTTCCTGTGTCCCACCCGGTCCCACAGCCTCTTGGTCCCAAGTAAACACACAGAGGCTTATATTAATTATCAACTGCATGGCCTATGGCTCAGGCTTCTTGCTAGCTAGCTCTTTCATCTTAAATTAACTCATTTCTATTAATCTATATGTTGCCTTGTGTCAGTGGTGTTACCAGTCTGCTGGCATCTTGTTGCTCCTTGGGCGGCTGGCTGACATCTCCTCTTCATGCCTGTCTCTTTCCTGTCTTTCTGCTTGGATTTCCCACCTGCCTCTAAGCTACCTTACCATAGGCCAAAGCAGCTTATTTATTAACCAATGGGAACAATATATATTCACAGCGTACAGAAAGACATCCCACAGTATGCATTTATTCATATTTTATTTATTTATTTATTTGTGTGTGTGTGTGTGTGTGTGTGTGTCTGTGTGTCTGTGTGTGTGTTCTTGTGGAGGCCAGGAGAGGACATTGGATCTCCAGGAAGAGGAGTCACACAGAGAGTTGTGAGATGCCGCATGGGTGCTGAGAACCTACACTGGGTTCTCTGCAGGAGCAGGAAGAGCCCTTACCACTGAGCCATCTCCCCGGCTCTGTATAATAAATCTTACTAAGCAAAATCTGAAACAAAAGAGCCAAGCTACGCATTGGTACAAACACTGCTAATGTTTTGTGTATTTCTTTTTAATCTTCCCCACTTATGCAGAGGTTAATTAAAATTTCATGTAATTGAATTTCCTTAATTGTGACCTAGAATTTGTACAGCTTCATTTTTCACCTTTCCATTTAATATAGTGTGTGTCTGAGTTACTTTATGGCATTTGTGAGTGGAATCTGCAAAAGCCTCATGATCTTGGACACTGCTTCAGCTTGGATGCTTTTAGATCCGTCCTCTGGAATGTCACACAGTCGGTCGGAGAGCAGAGAGCATGTTTAGAAACCTCATCTCAATCTTCCTTACTTTTCTGCCATCCCAGGCTACAGATATCAACCTTGGGACACGTGCATTTTTGCTGCTTGGCGGGGGGCCTGTCAGACATGAGACTCTTTCCTGAATGGACAGATGAGCTATGCTATTATGGATTAACTTGGATTTTTTTTTTGATTACTACTTAGCTTCTCTGTTTCCTGTGTTTTGTTAGCCAGTCCGATTTCTCAGCTATGCAAATGTACTTCTCAGTTTACCTCTTTACCTCAGTTCCTTTATCTCATTATTTACAGGTTTACAGTTTTTATGCCATTAAGTCCGCGGAGCTTTACTTTGCGGCTTTTTCTAAGCTTTTAAGCTCGGAAATTCCTTTTCACTCCAGAGATTTGACAAACATTTGCTTCAATTGCTTTTCAGTTTCTTCCTCTGGCTTAATTCTTTCACATTTTACCCTTTAGTGCATCTGGTCTTTATTTCCGTGAGTGGTGTGAGATAGGGATGCAAAATGTTTTTGTTTCCAAATTCCAGAACTATTTTTTTTTCTGATGAATTCCTTCTCCTTTTTGATTTGTGATGTCTTCTTCATCAAACATTAGTTTGTGTGTGGGTGTGTTTTTGTTGGCCTGCAGTATCTTATGGTCCTTTTTATTCAGGGATTTATTTTTGCGCGGTGATGAGTTTCTGACTAGGGAGTTAGCGACTTGGTTTGGAGTCAGAGAAATGAGGTGACGATGGACAACAGACTGTGTTGGTTGGAGATCCCTCTGAAGACCAAGCAAAAGCGAAATCTATAAAAATGAATTATGCTATCCTAAATTGTGGTTTATCTATCAGTCTCTTAATTGTGACCCCCCAAAGATTCATGTGTTGAGAGGTATTGTTCTTCCAGTATAGTAATATTAAGAGGTGATGGGGCCTTTAATGGTTGGTGTCTACTGAGAGCTTATTGGGTCATGAAAGGGACTACCCTAGGAAGGGATTTAAGGTACGTCTCATGGGACCCTGATTAGTTCTGCAAGAAGGTTGCGTTTTTGACTTCCTGTCTTGGCATGTGATCTCTCCTGCTGGCATGCACCATGGTGACATCTGCTGTGGTGTGCTACAGTCAGGTGTACCTGCACCAGAGTTGGCACCATACTGTTTGGACTTTCATCAGCTTCCAAGTTAAACTACATAAACCTTTTTTCTTTATAAAGTACCCAGCCTCTGGTATTTTGTTGTTGCCATGAAAAGTGGACCAATATAGGATGCTTATCAGAATTACCTGTGTAGTGTAAACTTTTATAAGACAATCGTGTGTAGTGGGTGGTTGTTTGAGCCATACCCTGAAGTACTGATCCTGGTGAGGTAGCAGGTAACTGTTAGACCTGCCTCTGACCTTGAGGTACATGCCTTTGGGGCATGGCCACTGGGGTGCCCTTAAGACCTGGGATGCAATACACATTCTCTTCTTTGCTACCTCATGGTTTTGGAGGCTGGAACAGACCAGGACAGAGCTTGCCGGAGAACAGCATTGGACTGCGCCTCACCCTCTAAGATCCTGCGACAGATTCCTTTATTCTGTCTTGTGAGTTAACCCCCAAATAAATTCCTTTGCTCACTAGATAGACTCCATGGATTAATTCCATTATTCTTGGGTTCCTTCAGTAGCACTTTTTGAATGATAGGTCTAAAGTGGGGTAGAGCATTGTTGTTTTAAAGATGTTTCACAGATGGTTCTGATACACATCCCCTAATTGCTGATGGTCTTGAACAGAGTCCCACTCTGGAACATACCAAGTTCGAGCCTGCTGCGTATTTTTGTGTAGCTCATGGGACAAGAATGAATTTTACATTTATTTTTACTTTGATTGTATATGTTGCAAGTGTGTGTGTGTATGTGTGTATGTATATATATATATCTCTGTGTGCATGTCTGTGTGTTTGTCTCTCTGTGTGTGCATATGTCTGTGTGTCTGTGTGTCCGTGTGTGTACTTGCACACATAATATATACATGAAAGAAGGACAGAAATCAACATTGGTTACACGCAAAAGCTCTCCGCTCTGTTTTTTAAGACAAAGTTCCTTTTCACTGAACTTGGATTTCGCCAACTGGGTAAGACAAGCTGGTAGGTGAGCTCCAGGCATCTGTCTTCTCAGTGCTAGGACCGTAGGCCTATTTCACCATACCCCACTTTCCACACTCATGCAGGAGATCCAAACTCCACTCACATGGCAGACACTTCATCTGCTGGACCATCTCTATAGCCCGTAACGTTTCCATTTTTAAGTGGTTAATTTTTTTTTTTTAAAGAATAATGTTTCAGGGGTGGAGAGATGGCTCAACAGTTTGGAACAGTGACTGCTCTTGCAGAGGATTTGATTCCCAGCACCCACACAGTAGCTCACAACCATCTGTAACTCCAATTCTAAGGGGATCTGATATTTTTTTTTTTCTGGTCTCTGTGGGCATTGCACACTCATGGTGCACAGTCATGGTGCACACATACAGACATACATTCAGGCAGAACACCCCTGCACATGAAAAGAAATCTCAAAAACACAGAGAAGAATAACGATTGATGATGTGAAAACTGTGTAAAATTCAAATTCCAGCATATAAGAGTAAAATCTTATTGGTTCACACTTGCACTCATGTGTTTATGTAAGCTGGATGGCTGCTCGTATATGTCAGAGTAGTTGTGAATGGAGACTGGATGGCCTAAGGAGACCCCAGATGTTTACTCTTTGGCATTTTAGTTTTAAAATATTTTATATGTATATATAATATATTAGGTAATATAATGTATAATATATAAAATATACTCCTGCTCTGGAGCACTGCA